GGCAGCACCCTGGACCTGGAGGGGAGAAACTAAGCTCCCCACCTCCACCCGGCTCGCTAGCTGCCCTTCACGCCCTCTCTGCCACCCTGACATCTTTGCTCTGGTTCTAAGCAGCAGCTCTGTCCAAGGGCCTGGGTGGAGAAGAGGCCTTGGACTCCCTGAAGACACTGTAATAGGATTGAAGTGACTTTCCCAAGCCCCACCGTCACCATGCGCTTCACACCAGCCCTGCAGCGGGAGAGTGGGCCGTGACGGGGCGCCCGGGCGCCCCCAGCCTTCCACAGTGGAGTTCTGAGCGGAGGAGGCCACCTCTGGTGGCTGGGGATGCCAGTGCACAGACTGCAGGGAGTCCCGGGCGGGTGAGCCCAGGAAGGAGGCACATGGCTGGGTGTGCGGGGAGGGGTGCACCCTGCTCCCACCAAACAGCCTACTCCCGGGGGAAGGAGCACCTCCTGCCCTGCTCACATGGCCCCCGGCTGCCAGAGCCCAGGCAACCGCATCACCGCATCACCGAGGTCAGCAGCCCCTTCTCTCTCTTTCCCTCCCTTCATCCCAGCAAATCCCTGGAGGAACCATTACCATCTCCCAGACTGGTTCCTAGAACAGCGCTGACCAGGAGTGCAGCCCAGGGGATGTCCATCTGGGCCGGAAGCCAGCCCAGGTTCAGGAAGGTGACCTTGGCCTGACACTGCCTCAGACCAGGGGGAGGAGGAGGTGGGCAGCCAGAAATGGCAGAGAGCAGAGGCGACAGGAGCAGGAGTGTGACAAACACATCAGAGAATGACAGCAAGATAGGATCAGGGACACAGACGCAGTCTTGGGAACAGTGCCCTCAGGCCTTCAGCCTGACAGTTCTGTCACCAGGAAGGCTGAGGGCCTCCCAGGAGAACCACAGGCTGACAGGAGCCGAGACAGGTGGTCACAAACTCATGGCCCTTGTCAGGTGGGTGGCCGGGCTCTGACGCAGCGATGGTCGCCTGCCTCCCGCCTGCCCTACTTTCTCAAGGACTGGCCCCCACAGAACCGCCAGTACACATCCAGGAGCCAGGCTCCTTCTGACCAGCACAAGCCCCCCCAGGCAGCACGATACAGCCTCCCCTGTGCTCCAGGGCGGGCTCCCTCTTCTGCTGCCTTCCCCCCTGCAGATCTGGGGTGACGGCTGTGAGGTGCTGTCAGTCCAGAGCGAACGCCTCTGGCTGCCTCAAGGGCAGGGGCCAGCCTGGCCCAGATGGGGCCACCGAGTGGTGGTGGTGGCGGCAGCAAGGAGCTGCGTGTGCGAGCGTGTGGGGAGCCTTTGAAGATGAATGAGACAGTCGGAGCTGCTGCCTGCAGGGCTTGCTGGGATCTCGGGGAGCAGAAGCAGAAATCTGCTATTTTCTCGGCTTGGGATCGGGCAGGCTTGCGCCTCGGGAGAAATGGCAGAGCTGCTGGGGGCAAGGGAGGCAGCCCTCTCTCCTGAGCAGTCAGCAAACTGACAAAAACAAGTGGCAAGCTTCTCCTCTCCCCACATGCTACTGCCCGTGGGGGGCGCGCACGCGCACGCGCACACACGTGCACCCACATAAGAAAACACGTTCAGAGGACAGGCTGTCAGTGGCTTCCGGCCAGCTGCAGACAGACGTGTCACAGATCCGACTGGCGTTTCTTACGGATAATCTCAGTTGAGCAGCCAGTGAGAGGATGCGCCCGGGGAGCTGGGAGGAGGCAGATGCCCTACAAAGCGAGAGCCAGACACATGCTGAGGTTGGACAGAGTGGCGGCCAGGCCAGTGAGGCCCTGCTGGCGCCAAGCAGCTGCAGGCTGGCAGGCAGGTTTCAGGGGCATGGACGCTGGGGCCTGGCTGGGAGCTGTGTGTCTGCCACTCCCTAGCTCAGCAACAGTGGGCAAATAATTTTGCCTCACTGTCCTTCCTCATTTTCCAAACGTGGACATGACCAATCTCGGGAGAGGGAAGTCAGAGAATGGACGGGAAGCCCTTGTTTGCCACACTGAGCTGTGCGATCGCTCACTCCTGGCTCCTGGTTCCTGCCTCCAGCCCTGGCCACTGGACAGTGGCAGAGTTAGCAGCTGGGGGACCCCAGTGAGCTACCCACCCCCCAGGGCCTTCTCAGGCTCTGTCCCTTACAGGAGCCCCAGGGACGCAAAGGGAAGGGGCTCAGCACTAGGGCAGACGCCGCTGGGCTCTGTCACCAGCCCCAGCCAGGCCTGGCCCGGGGAAGAGACCAGCAGGGCTGCGGGGTAAAAAGGGGTCTGTTTCTCACCTGCAGCCTGTCTCCATTCTCTCTCTTGCTGCCCCCTCTGCCACCATAGTGTCCTCCCAGGAGACTTGAGCTAAAACAGAAAACCACAACAGGTCGTCACATTCTCCCATGACAGAGGACAGAAAAACCTGAAACCAGACCTGCTGCCGTGAAATCAATTCCGACTCACAGTGACCCCACAAGACAAGAGTAGAACTGCCCCAAAGGGTCTCCAAAGCTGTGATCCTTAGCAGACTTTATTCTGCTGAACGACTGGTGGTTTCAAACCGCCGACCTTTTGGTTAGCAGCTGAATGCTCTAACCAGTGAGCCACCAGGGCTCTCCCAAACAACAGGAGGGCTTTTATATCAGAGGCCACCCAGACGACTGCCTCTCTTAGATGTCTCTAGAACCTCCCTCAGTCGTCAGGCCCGTGGACCACCACCTCACCCCCAGCCTCCAGTGCTCTCAAGACCACACCTGACTCTCTAAGGCGAGCCCTTGCCCTACAGTCCGGAACCTTCAGGCTCAAGGTAGGTACCGAGTAAAGGCGCCCACCCACACTCCTAACCTCCAGCACTGACCATGAGGGCTGAGAAAGGCCTGCTCTGCCCCCCATGGCCAGGCCTTCCCTCACTCTTCCTTCCTTAGCCCACCCCTGCCCTCTGCCCCACAGGCTCAAGGCCCTGCCTTACCTGCCTCCGGAGCTCCTCCTGAAGAGATGAAGGCTCACTTCAAAGACTCTTTGTCCCTAAACCGAGCAAACACTGGAGTCAGGGGATGGAAGGGATGACCCTTGAACATTCCCAGCTCTCTTCTCCCTGCACCCTACTGTCTAGTGACTCACCCTGACACTGAGGGGCACCAAAAGAGCCAGTTGATTGTGGAACTGCCCCTTGCCACCCCTCTGTCCCATTGGCAGCAGCTCCTTGATGTGAGGCCACTTTTTCCAGTTAACTGGGACCCAAGGAGTTAAAAGGCACCTTGCTTCCTTCTGGCCAGGACTTGCCAGGCTGGGCCCAGCCAGATGGTCCCCAGGTTTGGCCTTTCTCTCCTGACAGGAGGTCCAGGCCCACGTCCTGTAGGGGAGACGAACTGCCTGGAAGCCAGGAACCTAACGTCTGTCCCCAGCCGGACAGACGACCTTGAGCTGGTCATTCAAACCTCCCTACCTCTCAGGTTCCTCAGCCACTTGTCCTGCTAACCCTCCAGGCATATGGAAACCTCCAAGTAAGTTAATATAGGAGAAACCACCGGAAAAGAGAACACATTCGTCACATATAAAATCATAGCAAGAAGAACTCACATTTATCAAGCCGACCTTTTGGTTAGCAGCCAAATGCTTTAACCACTGCGCAATCAGAGCTCCTTATATATATAACAAGGCTACATTATTCACCAAAAGTCACTCACTGATAAGAGGAGAACCGGCATTTAAACCCTGGCTGGCCAATCCTAGGCCGAGCTCGACAATGAGGACCAGTCTTCATTCAAGTGCCTTCCTAGGTGTCAGTGCATTTAATTAGCAGTCTCAATCAGGCCCTGTTATGATGGTCTTGGAGCCCCTGGGTGGTACACACGGTTGAGTATTTGACTCCTAGCTGAAAGGGTGGAGGTTCAAACCCACCCAGAGGGACTTGGAAGACCTGGTGATATGCTTCCAAAAGGTCACAACCTTGAAAACCTGATGGCGCTGTCCTACTATGCGCACATGGAGTCATCATGAGTGGGAGTCAGGCCTTCAAACTGGTTTAAAATGGCCCAGTCATGGCCGAGGAAGCTGATGTGTTGCACTTAGGCTTCTGACCTGAGTAGCAAACAGACAGCAGTGTCCCACCCAAAGATGGTGGCCACCAACCAACCACTTTGAATGTATGTTGGCTGCCATCTTTGAGCAAGTGTCTTGTCTCTTGTTGATGGTTGAGAAAACTGAAGGGCAGGGAGGTTTGAATGACGAGCTCCCTTGGACATGACTGAACCAGCTTGAAATTGTTCGAAGCCCTGGTTGGAACTGACTTTAAAAGCAAGTAACAAGAACATGATGGAGAGCCAGTGTATCACAGAAATGCCTCTGTTTCCCACACATGCCTAGGGCGTCCCCTGGGGCCTCGGACACTTGGTACCTGGAGGACTCCAGAACTGAGAGTAACTGAGACCAGGAGAAAGGGTCAAGTTCTCTTGGTTTCCACACCTCTAAGACACGCACTGTGGCAGGTTCCCCAACCAGAGACACTGGAGTTCACAGATGTGCAGGCTGTAGAGCCGCGTGTGGGGCTCCTTCAAGGCCTGGAGCCCCAATGGGATATGCGATCAGGTTTGCTCTAGGTTTCATCAGGAGTGAAGAAGCAGTGCCAGGGCCTAGCAGACACCTCCGCGGGAGATAATGTCACTCTTCAGATAGTTGTCCCACTCTATGTGGATTCATTAAAAAAAAAAAAAAAATTCACTGCCCTGGAGTCAGATTCGACTCACAGCGACAACTCCTTGGGTTTCCCAGGCGATATCACTACGGAGGTAGATTGCCCAACCTGCCTTCCAAGGAGTGGCTGGTGGGTTTGAACCGCCAGCCTTCTGGTTAGCAGTCAAGTGCCTTAGGCACTATGCCACTATAAAATACATTGTACACCTATGTGATAAGTATGGGATGAGTTTTCAGGGGTTTGTTGGCCATAGGAGCCCTTATCATCCAAGGCTACTGGTCACTCAGAGAAGGAAAAGCCCGAAAGCTCCCCAGCCTTCACCCTCAAAGACCACATGGCCTCAGCCCAGGGAAGAGTTAACTTTCTGGCCACAGGAGACAGCGTCCTGCCCACAGGGGCCGCCCAGCCAATGGCACTCGATGCCGATGACGTCATGCTCCTCCTGCCCCTTCGATTGGGGACCGGACTGCGAATCCTGCTGGAGGTTCTGGCAGCCGAGCCGCAGAGGCGGGGCGGGGGCGAGCGGAGGGGGGAGGGGAAGGGGAAGCCTAGCAAAGGCGGGCGGAGCGGCGGCTGCCTCGGCTCCCTCTTCACCGCCCCTTCCCCTGCGAGCGCTCAGGCGCCGGGACAAGCGAAGAGAGCAGCGCTGGTCCAGCGGAGGGGGCGGAGCTACCAATCTGAGACGACAGCCAGCCAGTCTGCCTTCCAAACCGACAGGGACCTGGGTGGCTGCGGCGAGGGGCCCTGTGCCTCCCGGCCAGCATACGGTACACACACGCACACACATGCATGCGCACACACGCACCACATGTGCACCCCGCGCAGTCAGCCCCAGCTTCCTCTGTGGCAGCCTCGCTCCCCTAGCGGCCTCTCCTCTGTCTCACCTGTCTGAGCGCTGGTGGTCTGGGTCCAAGCCACTGCCCACCGCTGCACCGTCCACGCCGCTGGGCTCTCTGTGGGAGAAAGACCAGTGGGCAGAGCTGCGCGCAACACCCGTGCCCTCTCGCCTACTTCTCTAGGGCCTGGCCACCTCCCGCTGGAGGTGCCTCCCAAGAGCTCACGTTCCCTCTCATCCCAGGACTGAGAGGAGCTGAGACACAGAGGGGCTCCGTTCCCCTGGTTCGCCAGCCTCCGCACCCTCACTCACCGTTGTCTGAGAGTGAGCCTCAGAAATCCCTGACCAGCGCCCTCCCGGCCTCCCTGGAGCCCAGACCCGGTCCTTCCTCCCACCCCAACCTGCCGCAGCCCACAGGCCCAGCCTTTCTCACGGTTGGACCCGGTTGGCGAATTTGCGACGCCAGAGCATGGCCAAGGTGCTGAGGAGGAAGAGGGTGGTGCACATGTTCCATCCTCAGCCCGGAACCTGCAGAAAAAGGCCTCCGGCTGTGGCTGGCCCAAATGGCCCGCCTGCTCTGGCAACCTGGGCTCCCTGTCCTGAGGTTCCCGCTGGGGATGGATTAGGAAACTCAAGCTGATTAGCCGACTTTGTGGAGACCCGACCTTGTGGAAACTGATTAGTGTGACCGGGCCTAGCATCTTCCCTAAGTGGCAGAGGCCACACACTTCCACCCACACATTCATGGGGGCCCTGAGCACCTACTCTGAATGGGAATACAAATAAGACGGGGGCCTGCCCTCCAGGGGCCAACAGTCCCAAGGACGGAGCTGCCCAGTTCAACAAGCAACTACAGTGGAGGGACTCAGATGCTATCTGCAGAGCCCGTGGGGTGTTGCAAACATCAGGAAAAGCTCCAGAGGAGAGCTTGGGACACGTGTATTTGCAGGCGATCCGGGAAGGACGGCCTCAGAAGAATCTGCAAGGGCTGGAGAGGAAAACACAGGAAGCTGAGTGTGGAGGGGAGCAGTGGTGTCCCAGTGGAGGCTCCGGGAAGGGGAGGAGAGGAGACGATCAGACGAGGCCGGAAAGACAAGGGAGATGAGACGGCAAAGGGACCACGTGTGTGCAGCGCAGGTCAGTTTCACCCTCAAGACAATCCTTTCCGAAGTCTTTGGACCAAGATAAGTAAATAAATAAATAAACCCAAAGTCTTCTGACCACACTCTTCAGTAAAAGGTGCACTATAAGAGTAGCCACAAAGCACATAATCTGCTCACTTATAAGGAGCCCTGGTGGCGCAGTGGTTAAGTGCTCGGCTGCCGACTGAAAGGTCAGCAGTTGAACTCACCCGCTGCTCTGCGGGAGAAAATGCAGCAATTTTCGTCTGTAAAGATTAAAAAAAAAAAAAAAAAAAGTTGATTCTGACTCCTCACACCCCTAATGGACAGAGTAGAACTGCCCCATAGGGTCTCCAAGGCTGTCAATCTTTATGGATGCAGACTGGGTATCTTTCTTCTGCGGAGTGGCTGGTGGGTTCCAATGGCCACCCTTTTGGTCAGTAGCGGAGTGCCTTAACCACTGTGCCACAGCCTTGGAAATCCTATGGAACGGTTCTCCTCTCCCGCAGGGTCACTAAGTGTTGGAATGGATTCAACAGCAGCGGGTTTGGGTTTGGGCTTTGCAAGTTATACACTTTTCTGCTGTGCAAGCATGTTATTACATCATAAAGCATACATACAACATGTAAAGGATGAAATAAGTGAACAGAAGGATTTCCTCTCCTTTCTTCCCACACCCCCTCAGAGGCCACCGAGCTAGCTTTGGGAATATCAGAGGACTGAAACTTGCAGCCGTGGAATGTGGAGCCCATGATGGCTGGCCGTGGCAGATGGATGGCCATGGCCGTGGGGTGGAAGTGAGGACAGGTCTAAGAGCAATTAGACAGCCTGAACCCACTCAAGGCTCCTCCTCCGTCCCCCTTCAAGGCTCCTCAGAAGGCACTGGGTCTTCCTCCCCTCACCTGAGTGGGAGGTCTCCTTCCCTGGATTCTCACTAAAGTACCCGGGGCTGGGGCTAGGTCTGAATGTGAAGTTGGGGGCTGAGGGCTGGAGCTGGGGCTGGAGACTGGGGCCTTGGGGCTTAGGGTTGGCACTAGGGGCTTGGGGCTGGAGTCTGGGGTGTGGGGCTGGGGACTAGGGGCTTGGGACTGAAACTGTGAGCTTGGGGCTGGGGGTGGGGGCTGGGGCTCAATGCTGGGGACTGGCTGAGCCTGTTCTTAAGGTGCAGAGTCTGAAACGAGGGCCACAGCACACTGGGCTGTGCCAGCCTCCCTGAGGCTCCCTTGCTCAGGTCTCTACCTGGAAATAGATTTTAAAATAAACACCTGAACCAAAGCTGAAACGGGGAGCCAGGCCCTGCGGGGTGCTCTGACGGAAAAACAGTCACAATAGGGCCCGGGCAGGTACCCCACCTGAAGGAGAAGGTGCTGCGTGGTTTCAGTTAACCCAGTGATGTCAACCACCTTCCTCAAGACACTCAGAGGCTAGGTGGGGGGGGAGGGGTGTGTGGGGATGGGGAACCCTTGCCCCTGGGGGCACCAGATGAGGCACCGAATGACATTCCCAGAGGCCACACATATAAAAGGGACCTGACTTAGGGCGACAAGAAGAGAAGGCTTCTGTGCTGACACACTGCTATCAACATCATCCTAAAATGAGGGCAGGGGTTGGCTCAAGTTAGAGACTTAGTGATTGCCCCGCTACCCCTCAGGGACAAGGGTCCCCAGGTGCCTCGGAAAGGACTGGGCACGGCTAGTGCCATGGCGTCCGTTCCAGACTCCACATCCGGAAGTGGGCCCTGGTGGTCCCCAGCACTGGTGACTGCTCACAGGGTAGCGACCTGGTGGCTCTGGCCCATTCTACCCCGGCACCTCATCTTCCTGTTCCCTGGGCAGGACCCACCAGGACCAACAACGCTGTCTTCCTAATGGGGCCTTGGTGATGGCAGAGATGCCTCCAGAAGCTGACACCTCCCCCAAGGCTTCCTGACCCTGGGCTCCTCTTTCGGCCGGGCTGTCTCTTCTTCGGACTTTGGTCCACCAGAACCGGAATTCAGGAGAGCGCCCGGTTCTTGCCTGCCTGTGTCATTAACAAGCCACGCGGGTCTTCTTTCCGCCGCGCGCCTGCACCGCGGGTGGTTGGGGAGTGGCCGAAAGCCAAGGGGCGCAGGCCTCTGGCGGCCCGGGTCAGAGGAGGGCTCCAGTTCCCACAGCGCGATTCCGCTCCGGTAGCGGTAAACCCGGCGGAGCCCAGGGTCCCAGTGGCCCCCAGGGCTAGTTCGGGAGAGGCTGGGAGCGAGCTTGAGCCCAGACCGGCCGGCGGTGGGCGATCCGCCACCAGCCCCGGCAGCGTGTGACTTTGAGCCAGTGCCCCGCCGTGTGAAGGGTGCACAGCCGCCCAGGGGCGCACTCGGGTGCGCACGGCCCGCCTGGCGCCGCGTGAACGCCTCCTCCTCCTCCTCCCGAGACCCCCGGCAGACCCGCCACCCCTTCCCCGCCCGGCTCGGCGGCCAACCCCGCGGCAGCCTGGGGGGGGCGGGCGCCGGCAGCGTCGCCCCCACCCGCCCAGCCTTCACCTTTTGCCGGAATTGGCTGGCGGCGCGGGCTCGGGGACTCGGAGCGTCTTTATTTTTAAAGGCTTTTTCCTGCAGACCACATCCCCGCCCCCCGCTCGCGGCCTCCCGCCCCCCGCACATATACCCTGCACACACGCACTCACACACACTCACACTCACACACACGCCCGGCGCGCACAGACACAGACACGCTCCCGCCCTCCGGCGCGCTCTACCCCTCGCCCGCCCGCCGCGCACGCAGCCGGCCCCGCGCCCCGCGCCCAGCCGCCGCCGAGCCAGCCGGGCCGGGCTTGCAGCTGCTCATGGAGAAAGTGCCGGGCGAGATGGAGATTGAGCGCCGCGAGCGGAGCGAGGAGCTGTCCGAGGCGGAGAGGAAGGCGGTGCAGGCGACCTGGGCCCGGCTCTATGCCAACTGCGAGGACGTAGGGGTGGCCATCCTGGTGAGGTAGGTGTCACCCCGGCCCGGCTGGGCCCGGAGGAGGGAGAACGGCAGAGGCTCCGGGTAGGGGCGGGCTCGGCCCGGGTCCGAGCTCCGCGCCACCTCCCCAGCTGCGATTGGGGCCGGGCCAGGGCCAGCGGGGCGCGGGCAGCGTGGGGCGCCTTGGGGTGGGTGAAGCCCTGGCTGAGCCCTTCTTGGGTCCAGGACGCTGGGCTCCCCAGGAACGGGGAACCAGTCGCAGGAGTGCCCTTCTCCTCTCCCGGGCCTCAGAACTCCTGCCCAGCCAGCCGGTGCCTCCTCACCAGCCACCCTGCCGACGCGCTCCTGATCCACGTTTAACCATCCCTTCGGATGGGGATAGTGGGGGCCCCATTTTAGAGACGGGACCACTGAGTCTCGGCCAAGAAGGTGGCACAGGGGAGCAGCATCCCCTCTCTCCAGTTCAGCCCCCATTCAAAGACTCCTGGAAAAACTCAGCAAAGAGTAACCCCAGGTCTAGTGTTCCCAGCTGCCCCTAACAGCCTGGAGGGGTGAGCCTGCAGCGAGCCTGAAGCCAGGCACAGGTGAGTGCAGAGGCCACCAGGTCCTTCAGGTACGGTGCTGCTGAGTTGGATGGAAGGAGACAGGGCCACACTCCGAAATCCCCAGCCAGGGAGAAAAGGCCAGGTTTGGGCTTAGGGGTCATTCAGGTACCACACTCCCCGCAGGGACCCCAAACCATACACTGACACAGTCATTTACACACTTGCACATCGGCACACACACCCAGTCCCTAGGTACTTAATGTCACCAAGCCCCACAAGCTAGTTCCTGTTGATAGCCACACCCCAGTGCCGTCTTCCCACTCGGGCTGGTCCCTGGGGTGCAGGCAGAGAGGCCCCCTGACCATGCTTGTCCTTACCCCCTGTCCTTGGCAGAGGGGCGTCATATCTAGGGCAGAGCAGGGCAGTCTTACTCTTTGAACGTAGGGGTGAAGCCTCACCTGGATGCGAGCCCGTTCCCTTGCCCAACTCTGCCTTTTTCTCCCCCTCATTCTCTCTCCCTTCTGACTCCCCCAAGCCTAGGACCTACCGAGCTCCATCTTGATATGCCCTGATTGCAACTTAGAAGCAGTTTCAGGGGAAGAGGAGTGACCGAAGCACTTTGGCGGGGCTTTGGAGGGTTCTTGAAGAAGGGACAACTGTCTGGTAGCTCAGGTGGCCCCCCCAGGCCCTGGAGCCCAGCTGGGCTGGGGGTGGGGGATGAGAGGGGGATTCAGATCCTGGTGACTTCAGATACCACAGACCAAGCCCTACACATGCAAGCACCCCCACACACAGTGGGGAGTGGAGTCCCAGGCGCGCCACACTTTATCCAAGGAGGGCTAGCTCAGGGGTGCGTGCCTGCTGGGCACACGGGCCACCAAGAGGAAACTAAGCGGGGCCCTCAGGGTGAAGAGGCCTCAGGATCCTGGTGGTTACCTGTCCCAAGCGCTGCCATTGCCAGTGAGGACATGTAGGGGACATGTCCAAGATCCATCTCCTGAAGTACCACCCAACCTCACCAGGAGTGGGGCAGGAGTTCAGGGGCAGGGGAAGGGACTGAACGCTGAGGACAAGTCTATGTCTGGAGAGGGGAACGCTTCATGGGGTTTCCTTTCTCCATACCCTCTTCGAGTTCCCTACTTCTGACTTACACAGGGGTGGTGCCTGGGCTGGGGGGTGTATTTACCAGTGTTCAGTTCTCCCAGGAGGGGCCCCCACTAATCCCAGAAAGCGGGAGAAAGCCATGTGTCTTAAAGAATTAGAATTGGGTTGCTCACAACCCCACCTCAACACACACACACACGCGCGCTTCATCTGACCGCACACCCACGCAGGTCCTCTCAGCTCCTTGGCCACCTTCCTTCTCTTCCCCTGTCTGCCCAGGGCTTGGCTAGTGGGGAGGGGTGTGGGGTTGAGGGCATGATCCATGAGCTTCGTTGGGGCTCTCCTGGCCCCAGATCTGTGCCCCCGACTCCTGCCACACTCCTTGCTCACCCTCACACAAGCAACCCGTGTGCAGCCACAAGGCCAAGGCCCTGTTAGAGCCTGAGACACAGCTCCAAGCCCTCACTTCCTCGTGGGCTGGCCAGTGCCCTGAGCCCTTACCAGCCGCAGCCACACCCCCACCCCAGGGTGGGGTGTGGAGGAGAGCGGTGGAGGTGGAGGTGGAGGCACTGCCTTCGGGGTGGGAGCCGGACCCCACACCTCCACTCCCTGCCTGGGAGGAGGCCATGAGGGAACACCCATGCTCCTGGTTGTAACTCTGACACCTTCCCCCTCACACTCACACAAGCCTATTTTGGGCTCACTTGGAAGCCCAGATGCCTCCGGGAGCTGAGAAACTCCCCAAGACTGGCTTTTCCCCAAGCTTCTTCCCGGCAACCCAGGGTGATCTGGGGGGTCAGGAGGCGATGTGGAGGCGCAGGGGGAGAAGGGGCAGAGCTCGTGGCCCCGGCCTGCCTGGCCGAGCGAGGGACGCCCCAGCTCCTAAAGCTGGCTGTTCGGGCAGATTTGCCTGGGTGCCAGCCGGTGATAGCCCTGGCGCAGCACTGTTGTGAGGTGGGGGATCTCGGGACCCTTCCTAGTGCCACCACCGACTTCACTGGGCCACCTTGGGTGACAATTTCCTAAGCCATGAGGTGGGGATAAGGAGCTCTGGTGGCGCAGTGGTTAAAGCATTCGGCTGTTAACCGAAAAATTGGTGGTTCGAACCCGCCAGCCACTCTATGGGAGAAAGATGAGGCAGTCTGCTTCCGTGAAAATTGACAGGGGCAGTTCCGCACTGTCTTAGAGTCGCTCTCAGTTGGAACCAACTCAACGGCAATGAGTGTTATTTGCTGGGTGGCGCAGATGGTGCAGCGGCTCAAGCTGCTAACTGAAAGCTCGCGTCCACTCAGAGGTCCCGTGGAAGAAAGGCCTGGCTGTCTGCTTCTGGAAAATCAGCCGCAGAAAAGCCTACAGAGCACCGCCCTCTCTCACACCTGGGCTGCCGCGAGGGGAACTCCCTCACGCCAACTGGCGGTAGTTTTCCTCATCAGTGAATTGGGTAGGCCTGCCTAGTTGTAGCAATTAAATGCAGTAACGTGTGGAGGAGCTGTACGAATATAAACTATTATTTTTACTGCACCTTTGAAACCTCCAAAGCCTGAGATCCTCATTCACGTCCTGATGGGGTTCTTCACGTTTGTTCCTCCAGAAAGACCCAGTGGATTTTCAGACCCATCGTCTCATTTGTGAAGGGTCGAGCAGGAGGGACCCCTCTCTCTTTTGCAGCCAGGCCGGTTGTGAAGTGATCTGCCCAGGGTCACCCTTGGCCTCTGAGCAGGGCCCCTTGGGTTTCCACATGAACTGGGCCCTGCTCGCTGCCCAAACCTCCCAGGAGGAGCTTTTTTGCCCGAAGGGGTGGTTCAGGCCACATGCTCTCTCTGCGTGTGCTCCAGCTCCCAGCTCCGGGACTCCTGGCAGAGAGCTGGCTTAGCAAATTATCAGCTCTCTCTGATTACAAAGGGGACACTCCAACGGCATGAAACGGCCTGAATAAGCAGGTCTGCGACACGCCATGTATCTTCCGAGGATTCAGTTAAGTAACGTAAGTTCTGGTCAAGTCCCTGCATATGCCTCACATGGCACCCAGGCCTGGCAGGGAGAGACGCCACGCCAATGTCATCAATGTCGCCCTACGCCTGCAGGGCCCTGGGCTGGGGCCATGGGCCAGGGGGCCGTGGGGTCTGCCCTAGAGTTGTGGTGCCCAGTCAGAGACCCACAGAGAAGCTGCCTGAAACGGACAGATGGGACTGAGGGGAAGCATCAGTCACCAGGGCAGGGAGAGAGCATGTCCTTACGACAGAGTAACAGAGGCCCGCAGTGCATGGGGACGGTGGCCGACACGCGTGGGGAATGTTTTCCTCACAGTGGGTGAGGCTGTTGGGCCGGAGCAGCAGAGGCTGGAGTGGAGGGAGGATGTCTTCTGGGAGATGCGATTGCAGGAGGGTTTGTAAGAAGCCTGGGGTTTCAGGTTGAGTTTTGACCTTGGCAGACAGTGGGAGCCACAGAATGTTTTTGAGCAAGACAGCAACCTCATCAAAGTGGCACGTTAAGGGAAACTGGAGAGGGGGTGGGGAGAACTAGGAAGTCCTGGGGGCTGCTCCAAGTTCACAGTCTCGCTGGGGAGGGAAGCCTTTGTGACATGAGGTAATTAGAGTGCCCCACAAGGTGGGTGAAAATCAATGGTTAGCTTTCATTAAAGCAACAATCATTATTTACTGCAGACCAATGAGGGGGCAGGGCCACAAGAGCTGGAGGAAGGACTGGGCCTCATTGCTTCTCATGGGCTGAGCCACCCAGCCAGTGGGCCTTTCTTAGCTCCTAAGGAGCCGTGTAACCTGGCCATCAGGGCCTCTGTGTGTCGGGCACTGTGCTGAGGACCGTGTGTGCACTTTCTCGTTCAATTGTCCCAAAGACTCACGAGACAGGAACAAAGATGCCTGTTTCATGGCTGCGGAAACTGAGGCTCAGAAAAGCCTGAGGTCCCACAGTCCTGAGAATCTGGAACCCCAAATCCTCCCCCAGCTGTGGCTGGGGGATGTCTTGAAGGGTGGGTGTGTAGGGTTTGAAAAGGAGGCAAGAACAAGGAAGGGGAGCCCTGTGAGAGGAAGCTGGCAGCCTGAGTAAGTCCAGTGGACAGACATGTCTGGAACCTGGGTCGGGACTCTGTGGGAACCAGCTTGACCAGAGGGGGTGTATGTGGGTGCAGCCATGTATGGGAGTGATGACAACTAGGGGTGGGGGGGCCCTGCCTCCTGCCATTATCCTGGTCACAGCCCCTGCTTCAGCTTCTGCCCCCTCCCTCCGGCCAGGTTATTCGTGAATTTCCCGTCGGCCAAGCAGTACTTCAGCCAGTTCAAGCACATGACCGACCCCCTGGAAATGGAGCGAAGCCCCCAGCTGCGAAAGCATGCCTGCCGGGTCATGGGGGCCCTCAACACAGTCGTGGAGAACCTGCATGACCCCGACAAGGTGTCCTCCGTGCTGGCCCTCGTGGGCAAAGCTCACGCCCTCAAGCATAAGGTGGAACCCGTGTATTTCAAGGTATGTCCCGGGACTGGTGCTGCCAACCCGCACCCCCCACCACCCCCAGCAGCCTGCAGGCCACAAGGGCTCCATTGGGCAGCACAGGTGACCTCCGGGCTGGAGGTCACATCCTGGAGTTGCTGTGATTGGCAGGGGTGCAGGACAGAGGGCTGGTGCCAGTGATCTCCAGTGTGTCTGGTTCCTAACGCCATCCCCATGTGCCCTGAAAGTGTCCTTCATCCAGAGGCGGGATAGACGGGGCTGGGGGTCCCAGGCTTCTGGGCGCAGGTGCCCAAGGCGTTCACCCCCCTTCCCCCTGTGCCCCCAGATCCTCTCTGGGATCCTTCTGGAGGTGATTGCTGAGGAGTTTGCCAATGACTTCCCGCCCGAGACGCAGAGAGCCTGGGCCAAGCTGCGAGGCCTCGTCTACAGTCATGTGACCGCTGCCTACAAGGAAGTGGGCTGGGCACAGCAGGTCCCCAACGCCACCATGTGAGGAGGCTGGATGTGGGCTGGGCCGGGGCAGCCTCCCTGCGGGGGTCCGACCACTGGGGCGGGGATGCCGGATCTGGGGTCTGAGGCTTTTAAGAACAGATGAGATAGGACAGAGTTGCTTCTCTCTGACTTTGCACCTAGCCTGTGCCCAGGGCCCCAAGGCTAGAGCCAGGAGTCCCAGGCCAGATGCTTCCTTTCCCCAGAACACCCCAAGACCATGGCCACCAGGGCCAGGGCAGAGGTGCCAGCCATTTCCTGGTGGGCAGTTTCTTCCTGAGGCTGTGAGCCAGCCCAGGACAGCTCTGGCCACTTCCTCCCCGGGTACCAATCGCATGGGGCTGTGTGCTCATCCAAGGCTGACCAGTGACCAAGGAGAGGGGCCAGGAACATCACGAGGTGGTGGCGTGCATGTGCACACGCAGGCCTGTGTGGAGGTCACTCACTCACATGCTAGCAGAGGTGTCCATTTCCGGGCTGAGCCCAGAGGGTCTAGAAGAGCGCTCAAGGAGGATGGCCCGCTTCAGGGGCCCAGCTGACCCGGAGCACGAGAGGAGAATCCCACAGTTCCCCGTTTCCCCTTCCCCGACGCCATGGTGGCTGGGAACGCTCCCTCCTCCCTGGGCCCCCATGGGGCGGCCCCGTCCTGGGAGCTGAATGGCAGGGTGGAGGCCCAGCCAGAGTGGGAAGAAGTGCGTGGAGCCAGAGCCCGGGAGCAGAGGGGCGGAGGCGGGAATGGGAACCAGGGGTCAGCCAGCAGCTCAGGACACGAACTATCCAGAAACATTCCCAGCAGTTTCCCATGGAAAAGGCCCCGGCCCCTCCCCTGGCTCTGCGCTGGCCCCTGGAGCCCCCCGACTGCCTGTGCACAGGCCTCCTGGCCCAGCCCCTCGGAGGAGGTCCCCTGAGGTCGGCCTGGGAGGCCAGACCTCCCAACCTTCCTGCCGCTGACCACACTGGCCCGGAGATGGCTCCAGCCGCTGCTCCTGCCCCCGCATCGGCACCCCCAGGAGCGGGGCCTTGGAAGGGCTGGCTGCGGTCAGGCCAGCTCCAGATGTGCACAGCTGGCCCTAGCTGGCCCCAAGCCAGGCGGACGGGAGGCAGGCAGGAGTGTTTACCTGCCTGAGGCGGGTACTGGCAGGAGCCGGGGAGCCGACACAGGCAGCACGGGACCGAGGAGGGGTGGCTGGGAGGCGAGGGGTCGCCCCCACTGCCTTCTCCAGGGCAGGCTCTGCCTCCAGGGATATGTTTGTTTACAGCCAGGAGATGAGACTTCCGGCTTCTAGAGCAAAGGGCTTTTTACAGGGGCCTAGGGGAATGGAGAGGGGGTGTGGGACACCACAGAGCTGGCCCGGCCAGGCCTCCGTGAATCAGAAACACATGCAAGCGTTTCCCGACACAGCGCCCCATCCACTTCCCTCCCCTGCTCTGGTTGGACCCCAGGGACTTAGAACTCGCCAAGCCCCGGATGCTAGGAAACTGCCGAATCTCTGCCACTTCTGGAAGGAGGGAGATGGGCTACAATGGGCACTGGCCGGGGCCCTGCTCCCACAGCTGCAGCCCCTCTGGGCCTGGCACCCACTCTTGGGTTAGTTACCCTCTTATACACTAGACCCCTAACTCTGGTCTCCTGAGGACATAGGCATGGGCCCCCAAGAGGGTGTGTCTCCCTGGACCCCTGGCCTGGCCTCCAGACCCAACACACTGCCAGGGTCCGAATGGGTGTGATGGAGTTAAAGAGCAGAGTTCTAGAAGGTTCCATCCAACTCCTCTTATCAGGGGTGGGCCAGACGCCACTGTTCACTGAACTGTCTCTGTTTACGGGTGTGTGAGCTTTCATGTAGATGGAGGAGTCAAGAGTTTGGAGGGAGGAGGGGATAGGGGGTGCATGCAAGGGGATCAAGCCAGAGGCGTAGTGAGGTATGGCAGGTACGGGGCCCTGGGCACCACTTGGAGATGGGCACCGCCGAGCAGTTTCTGTTAACCTGGTGAGACCCGACGTCCTTTCTGAGACTCAGTAGACGTCCCGAGGCGGAGCAAGGGGGAGTAGAGGGAGGCACTTATCCCCGGGGGCAAGTCAAAGGTGGGGGGCAGATGAGGTGTGGAATGAATGACATTGTGAGGTACCACAGATGTGAAAGGCGCCTGACCGAGGTAGCCAGACAGGAAGGGCGTGGCGTTTCTGCCTGCACATGGCACCATCAACGTCTGTTCATGTTGAAATTAAGGGGGGTGCAGCTTAGCGATTTCCCCAGATGCTCATCACCCTCCCTACACCCCTGGTTCCAACCAAGGGGTTGCGTGTACAGAGATGACGAGGCATGACACAGGCCATCCTGAGTCTGGGCCAGGTGGCGATGTGTCCCGCCTGCTTGGTGCTTTGCAGTTTCTCTCTCACGATTCTCAAGGGGGTAGGCAGGGCAGCCAAGGCTCACAACATTTTAGCGAGAAAGAGCTGGGGGCTCAGACGGCCGGCCACGGGTAGCAGGAGGGGGACTAGAACTTGCCTCTGGTAAGCATGCTTTCAACTGCACGGTGCAGGGTCTCTTGCAAAGTGCCCTGGGGCCACGTAATGCTGTCCCTATCCCCTGCCCCTTGTAACCTGTCATCTCCATCTCCTCTCTCATCCACAGCCCACCGGCCACAGTGCCCTCTTCAGGGCCGTAGGACCCCCTCCCTCCTCTCCCCCCTCCCTGGCAGCACCTTGAGTAGAAGGCCAAGTTCTGAAGACCCTCCTTGACCCTCCATCCCTGGATGCCAAGGATGCTGGAGGAATCCTGACTCAACTTCCCGGAAGGAGGCTGTCCCCTGGAACTGCCAGAAGGTGGCGCCAGCTGCCCGGATGCTGACCCCAGCGTCCAGCCTGTGGGGTGGGGGGGGCTCTTCCTGGCAGAGCTGGGCCCACCCTTCTTAGCTTTTCTACTCACTTGTCAGAGAGAGACCTAGCTGTGCGGCTGGCGGGAGCAGGGAGCAGGTCTAGAAACCTCTCCAGGAATAACCCAGCCCCGCGTCCATCAGCCTGACCAGTGTGACCTATCTAGAGTGTCACGTATACACATCTGCCGTATATACAGATATATTCTACATACGATCTCCATATAAATATATATAATATAATACATATATAGATCTCACACAGAAACCCAAACCTGTTGCCGTCCAGTCGGTTCCAACTCGTGGCGACCCTGTAGGACAGAGTAGAACTGCCCCATGGGGCTTCCAAGGCCGTCAGCTTTACTGAAGCAGACTGCCAATCTTCCTCCTTTGGAGGGAGTGGCTGGTGGGTTGGAACTGCTGACGTTTCGGTTAGCAGTTGAGCGTTTAACCACTGTGCCACCAGGGTTCTAACACACACACACAGACACACACACACACGCACTTACATATCCATAAATCTGTGGGCCCAGAGGCACCTGAATGGCCTTGGCTCTGCCCATCTGCACGTAGGCCGGGGTGGGGACCTGGCCATGCTCTGGGGAGGGTCCTGGCAAAGGTGGGGGTCCCCCATCAGTACAGAGAGGAGCTAGGCCTATATGAGCAGGATTGAGGTGACCCCAGCAGCCAGCAAAGCCCAGGCCATTCTCTGGCCCCAGCTCCCCACATTCCTGCATTCCTGAGGACTTTTTCCCAAAGGCTTTGGCTCACGACTTGCCTCAGATTGGGCAGGGCCCGACAAAGGGACAGAAGTTCCAGACAGGATGATGGAGCTGGGGTAAGGGCTTCTGTGAAGACACCTTGAAGGCCGGTTCTACCTTCCTTTGCCCCGAAGACAGCCCCAGGGGGTGGTCCTGGCTGCAGGACGATGGGGCCAGAGCCCGGGTCTCATTCTGCAGTCTGAGGGGCCTGCCGTCGACAACCCCCTCCTGGTGGCAGTCAGTGCTGTCCACCCACCTGGGTCAGCCTTACTGGGGACCCCCACTGGGTGCCCCTTGGTCCCGTGTATTGTCCTCAAGGAAGTCTGCTGCTGTGGCTTCGGTGCCTGTGTCCCCAGTCCCCCTCATGCAGCCTGTCCTCCTTTTGCAGTTTGACAGTTTGTAAGCCGACCCAGCTGTGTCATTAAACAGGCCCTTCTTCCACTATCTGTGCATTCCCTTGGTCTCCTGCCCCCTGCTGCTAGCCTGTCTCCCCTCCTTAGTCCTGGGCTCTGGCTTTTTCTTGAAAGGCCCCAACAAGGGAGACCCACCCACCCATGTCTCAGCCATGGCTCGTCATAGCTCACCTCCCCCACCCCCCGAGATGGGGCTGAAGATGCTCTGGGCCCCATATCTGCTTAATTAGAACCAAGGCCAAAGACTGGAAGCTGGAGTTTGGGGGCCTCCAGTTGGGCGGGTCTATGCTTGTAAAAACGTCGGGGTGCCTCATCTTCTGCCCTAGAAATCTATTCCCTGGTGAGGATGGGATAAACGAAGAATCAGAGGGGAATTTCAGAAGGGCCCTACTTGCCCAGACTCGCCAGTCATTAGCTGTCAGTTCTGACTCATGGTGACCCATGTTTGTAGAGTAGAACCATAGGGTTTCCAAAACTGTGAGATTTCACAATCTGATTTCCAGGCCTATCTTCCAAGGCGCCTCTGGGTGGGTTTGAACCACTGACGTTTTGGCGAGTGGTTGTGCCACCCAGGAACTCCAGTGATAAGCCAAGGATCAGTCTGGACCTTCTAGACTTGAGCCTGGGCATCTCACACAGGGATTGTGGTGTCCAGCCCACTGGAGGAAGCCAGCTCTAATCAGTCACAAACCCCCAACATCCTCTCTGACCTCCCAGCTCCCAGACCCTCTTCCCAAGGCCTCTACCTGCAGCCCACAGCCTGCCCAGCCCCCACCCCAAGATGGAGGCAGCAGTCAGTAGCATGAGGTCCCCAAGGAGGGACCAGGAGGTCACCATCCCCGGGTGGGCTGCAGGAGAAGCAGGAAACTGCCTCTCTTGCGGGGAGGGCTCTGGCCAGCCCGGGAAGATTCGACCCAGAGGACCAGGCTCGCCTCCCTGACTGGGAGTCCTCGAATGCAGGCCGTGCCTGCCTCTCCTGGGCCTGGCACGGCGAGGTGCTCGAGAGATGGCCAAAGAATAAATAAATGCAACTCTTCGAAAGCAAGAGCAGCAGGCAGGCCAAGAACGAGCCCAGGACATTCACGCTTCAGATGTGTGGGCAAGGCCTTCTGAGACAGGAGACAGGGCCCTGGCCCTGGGCCAGACTTGACCATGGCCATGTCTCCCGACCTTTCTGAGCCTGGATGACCCCTCATGTAAAGTAAGAGTGGCAAACATGACATTATGCCTGATTCCATTTAGACAAATAAAACTTCTTGCTGTTAAGTGCTACAGAGTCCAGCTCACAGCCGCCTGTGAGTAGAAGTGCCCTGGGGGGCTTTCTGGGCTGCCCGTTGCACCACCAGGGCTCCTCAAGTGAGACTCACCTGTGGAAGTAGAAGCCAGCGGAGTTGTGGCTTGGGGCAGGTGGTAGGTGGGGTCACTTGACTACAGGATAGTTTACTGAGGTGAAGGAAATGGTGGAAGATATTCATGAAACGCATCAAACTGACACACGTGTACTTTTTTGTGCATAAATTACACCCCAACCAATTTGATTATAAACAAGGGTGGACATGAGGCCTGTCTCTCGAGGCAGGTGCCAAGGGGAGCGGGGGGGGCGTCTGCACAGCTCTGAGGCCGGAAGACGCTCAGGGCGCCGACACTGTGAGGCCTCCGGGGAGGACGAGTCGGGGAGAGAAGGGGCCCAGCAGGAGAGGGCAGGACGAGAATGAACGAACGCCACGGAACAAGGTAGACGCAACCCAGGAGCCCTGGCTGAGCGGCGGCCCGGCCTGAGCAGCACCGGAGTCTGGGGCCGAGGAGAAGGGGCGCCTGAGGTCGCGGGCGGGGGTGAGGGGCGGTCTCCGGGAGGAAAGCCCCCCCCCCCCAGCTGTCTTGAGGGTGGAGCAGCCTCTGAGCCAGTCAAAACTGCATCAACCTGGAATGTGGCCTTTGAAAAACGATCTCCCCACCCCCCAGAGCGAGGGCGTTGGAAAGGAGCCGTTCGCCCGGCCCGGGGCTGGGCCGCCGCTCCGAGGCGGGGGAGCGAGGTGCACGGAGTTGATGCTGCGCGGGGACGACGCCAGGTGTCCCTGGTGGGCTGCGGAGCGCGGGCAGGGGCGCAATGTCTGCGGTTGTGTTGCGTGCTTTCCCTGCACTCAGAGGTGGCCTTCACGCTGAAGAGCTGAGCAACTGGGTCACGCCCCCACGTCCACCCCCGGCGCGCTCGGGCTGTGAGCGACAGGGTGTCAGGAGGCGGGAGGCGGGAAGCTGCGCGCTTTGCCCGCGCTCAGCGGTGCTGGCAGGGCGCGGCCCCACAGCGACCCCTGCTGGCCGCGAGAGGAACCTCACCCGCAGAAGCGGCGGCTGCCTGAGCTCGGGGCAAGTGACCTCGCTTCGTTCCTCTCCTCCGCCTCACCACCCAAGGCCCCAGCACCCTCAGTTTAAAGCAGTCGCACAACTTCCATTTCCACTCGCATTCCCTGACAACACCCCCCATCTTGCCAGCTGACCTCTCTCCCCGCCCCCATCCTTCATCTCCATTGGCTTGATTTTGGTCCCCAGTCCTGCCCACCTCTCTTGTGACTCCAGCAGGGGGCGGGCGCGCGCGGTGTGTGTGTGTGTGTGTGTGTGTGTGTGTTAGTAGCTAGTCCATAGTTTCTGCACTCTCCACCTCTCCTCTAATCTCTTCACTCTGCAATTTGAAACCAGCGCTACTTTTAAAAATTGTGTTATTGTGGCAAATAGGCATGGAATCCTTGAGCGGCACCAATTCACCATTTCCTACGTATGCGTTGAGTGACATCGGTTGTGGCCATCACCCCTAATGTCTCCAAATTGTTCCACCGCCATTAACAGCAACTCAGTGCCTCCTAAGTGGAGACGCCCTCCCACCTTCCCTCCCACCCCTGGTAACCCTTGATAAACTTTGGTGTCAATGTGTGCCCTCATACACACTTATGTGAGCTCTGCTATCCTGGTTAAGGCATTTGGCTGCTAACCAAAAGGTCTATGGTTCAAACCCACCAGCTGCTCCATGGCAGAAAGATGAGGCAATCTGCTTCCATAAAGATTTACAGCCTTGGAAACCCCATGGAAGTCTCTATGAGTCGGAATCCACTCAATGGTAGTGGGTTTGGGTGTGTGCAGTTCTGGAAATGCGTACTTGTTTATGCGAAGAAATTTGAAAGTAAGGTACCTGGCCAACTGACTGGAAGAGATCCATATTTATGCCCACTCCAAAGAAAGGTGATCCCACAGGATGTGGAAATGATCGAACAATATCATTGATATCACACGCAAGTAAAATCTTGCTGAAGATAATTCAGAAACGATTGCAGCTGTATATTGACAGAGAACTGCCAGAAATTCAAGCCGGATTCAGAAGAGAGTGTGGAACGAGGGATATTATTGCTGGTGTTAGATGGATCTTGGGGGTCACTATGAGTTTGAAACAACTTGATGACAGTGAGTTTTTGTTTAGAGAAGTGGAAGGTGCTGTGGGAGGGCCGGTTAGTGTCAGAACTGGCAAAATGATTGGAGGGTGGCATCATGTCTGACCTCTGCCTCATAGGAACCAGCTGCTGATGCTGATGTTGGATGGTGATTCTGCCTCCCCCTTATACTGTTCAGAGGACACCACCCCCACATCCTTTATGCAACGTTTAAAGATTATCTTAGGGCAGTAGATTCGGGGG